TGGAACACAAGTATTTACACAATGCTCCACCAAGGGATAGAGTTTTGGCAAGATTGTTCCACACCCAACCCTACCAAGGTACGCCTTCCGATCCGCGACACTTGATTGTCGTGTTTTTTCTCTTTGGTAACTGGATTGTTGCCAGGGCAAGATTTTGATCACCAATACATACTTTGTTTTTTCTTCTTTCTCAATCATCGTCATTGGTACTCACGATTTCTTCTTGCGTAGTTCATCTTTCTTCTTGTCAATGGTCCCCAAAGTAGTAACGCTGTTCAATATCTGTCCGCACTCCTTTTGATTTGCATCTATGGACATGAGCTACATAATTAAGACAAATGTCAATTACAAAAGTGATTTTGTATTTAGTGATAGAAAGAGGGGTCAGGGTCTGACTAACCTTGTCATCTATGTTAAGGAAATTGTTCTCATCACGATTCATCCGGAATGAAGTGCGAGGTTACGAAAAATTAGGAAATTTTGCTCTCCAACTTGCATATCAAGTTTGCATTTTTTAGCCGGAATATTGCAATCTTGTTCTCTCGTATTTTCACTATATGCTTTGGCTCTTTTTTCTCTCTCGATATCGTCATTGGTACTCACGATTCCGCGTACGTTGTTCCTCTTTCTTGTGATCAATGGTTCCTAGATTTACATCCATAGAAGCTGATTGTTTCGCACCACCAAAAATACTTGTGAAATCGGACTTTACATGTTTTGACGAAATTTTGCTCTCAACTTGCATATCAAGTTTGCATTTTTAGCCGGAATATTGCAATCTTGTTCTCTCGTATTTTCACTATATGCTTTGGCTCTTTTTCTCTCTCGATATCGTCATTTGGTACTCACGATTCCGTGCACGTTGTTCCTCTTTCTTGTGATCGAGTGGTTCCTAGATTTACATCCATAGAAGTGATTGTTTCGCACCACCAAAAATACTTGTGAAATCGGACTTTACATGTTTTGACTAACCTTTAACAAATCCATGGACCAGGTGGTGCTTTGCACAAATTTGGAGTGTGATTGCAAGAAGGGAAAGAGTTGATGCCTCTCATGTGCGCAGCTGCTCCTCCAAATCTGCGATGCTCAGAGTCTGCGCCGCCCTTGGCCGTTCGACCACGGCAATGCCTCCAGGCAAGCACGGAATTGCCTTCAGGTGGTAGACAGGTTCGCGGCAATGCATCTAGGAAGTAAACGTGCACAAGATGTATTGTAAGAAGCCTAGCCAAATAGAAAAAATATAGTGTAACAGGGTCGTATTAGTCAGGATCGTATTATGAAGGTGCACAAGATAGGAAAAGGAAAGAGAAAAAACATAAGACATGTTGGAGACTTGACCACGGACGATGTTTAGAAAATGGGTTACGAAGGTGCACAAGATAGGAAAAGGAAAGAGAAAAAAACGTGTAACAGGGTCGTATTAGTCAGGATCGTATTATGAAGGTGCACAAGATAGGAAAAGGAAAGAGAAAAAACATAAGACATGTTGGAGACTTGACCACGGACGATGTTTAGAAAATGGGTTACGAAGGTGCACAAGATAGGAAAAGGAAAGAGAAAAAAACATAAACGTAGACAGGTTGGAGTCTCAACCACGGAAGATGACTCGGACACAACGGCTAGGACACGGACGGATCGTATTATGAAGGTGCACAAGATAGGAAAAGGAACGTAGACAGGTTGGAGACTCAACCACGGAAGATGATTCGGACACGGACACAACGGCTAGGACACGGACGGATCGTATTATGAAGGTGCACAAGATAGGAAAAGGAACGTAGACAGGTTGGAGACTCAACCACGGAAGATGATTCGGACACAATCTTACATCTTACCTGTTGGATGGAAGGCCCGGATGCGACGAAGGACGGATCCAACGGCTAATACTGAGAGATAACGAAAGATTCGCTCTTTTATAGTGTGATATGATAAAAAAATAGACGAACTAATAATGAGTAATCTATTTTTCCTTCGCAAAAAAATCTATTTTATTTTTCTATTCGAGATGGAGGCAAAACCAAAGTAGGAAAGGCCCCCTCTTCCCGGTGATGCTGACGTCCAGCGCAGCAAGCAGCAAACAAAAAACAATGACGTCTGCGAATACTCGGTCCGGGTCCAAGCTTGTCGTCCAACTGTCCAAGTGGCGAGTAAATTATCTGCACGTCACATTGGCCCACTTCACCACTTGTGACGAAAGGAAACTACTCCTCCGACCCATAGGCTTGGCGACGAGACAGCCCACCCCAACCCCAACCCCTTTTCCCTTTGATTTTTTTTTATTTTTAACACTTTTTTAAACTAATTTTAAATCTAACACTGTTTATTTTTTTTTCAAAACTAACATTTTTTGTCGCGCATATTTCCCTGGCGCGGCGAAATGCCTGTACCGCGCCATGCATGGTGACACGGCGAGAGGGATGACGTGGCGACGATCGGGGCGCTGACCGGTGACGTGGCAGGGTCTGTCGCGCCACCGATCTTGGCACGACAGTGACGCGCCATGGAAAATGGCGCGGCGAGGCAAAGCTAGGCATAGCCGGAGCATAGGCCTACCCGCGCGACCTCGGCATGGCATCTAGGCCTACTCATTGTAGCGGTGACTGTGGGCATCTAGGCATGGCCACTGTGGCTGCCGGCTTTACATTGGGATATATAGGGTCATTCTTTCATTTCTACTGTGGGCATTTTGCCACTCAAATGCTTTGATATGATAGCAGGTGAGGACTGGTTGGAAGAGTGTAGTCCAATGTGGGTCCACTGGTCTAACAAGATCATGAGGTTCACCTATCAAGGAAGGAGAATTGAGTTTCATGGGGTTAAGCAGCAGATTTCACAATGCCCTGCTATAACTTTTGTTGCCTTGCAGGGATTATTCAGTAGGGAAGCTGTCCAGCATTATGTACAATTCAAATGGGAAAGTGATCAGGCACAGCAGTCTTCAGCAGCTATGGAAATTCATGCTCTGAATGAAGGGCAGGCTGCAATGTTACCTCAACGAATTCAGTCATTACTTGATGATTATGCTGATCTATTTCAGGAACCCACCTCAATATCTCTCCAGAGACCTTTTGATCGTCACATTCAGTTATTGCCTCATTAGGCCATACAAATATTCCCCGGCTCAAAAAGATGAGATTGAAAAGCAAATTGCAGAAATGGTGAAGAATGGAATTATCAAAAGTCAAAGCCCTTATGCTTCACCTGTTCTGCTTGTAAAAAAGAAAGATGGGACATGGAGATTTTTTGTGTGGACTATAGGCATTTGAATGCTCAAATAGTAAAGAATAAGCACCCCATGCCAATAGTTAATGAACTTATTGATGAGCTAGCTGGAGCTAAGTGGCGTCTAGGCTTGCTCATTGTAGCGGTGACTGTGGGCATCTAGGCCGGAGCATAGACCTGCCCTCCGACGTCCATCGGACTACCAAGCGGGCGGCACCCTCGATCCCCGCGAAAGGCTAGACGCGAGGGTCTCATCGACCAGCTAGTACGGAGTACATCTACAACGACTCCCGGTAGATGCTACTAAATCTGACTACAGCTAAAATGTTTCAATTCATAGAAAACTAGTCCATCAACCCGTGCGAAGTATTAGACGTTTTCTATGATACATCATTGCAGTACCTAATACTTATATCTTCTAAAATTTTAACCAATGCGAGAGCACGAGTTGATGGACTATTTTTCTGAAATTTTTTAGCTGCAGAATTGCTAAACCTCAATCGGTTGATTTGGCCTCTCCAATCAACTGATTTTTTGGCCATCTGATCTGATCTTACGAGATGACTAGCAGGGACGAGGAGGCCGTGATTTAGGCAAAGCGAGGCACGCTGTGATGCGAGGGTCGGCAAGGTAGCAGGTGCGGCCAGCCTCAGAGCGCGCGGCCCCGGCCATGGCAGCAGCCGACGACCGGCTATGAGGAGGGCCACCCCCAGGCCGGATCCCCGTTGCTTCTTCTTCTCCAGACTCTGTTTGCGTGCGCATTCGACGAAAGAGAAAGGAAGGGAAGTGCGCAGGCGATGGAAGGGAAGGGATAAGGTTGGGAAGCTGGGTCCCACCACAATTTGGGAAAAAATGTTTTGAAATTTATGAAAAAATTGTGAATAATTTGAAATAAATTTCTTTGTTATCTGCAATTCATAAAAATAATTTGAAAGTATTTCTGAAAAATTTGGCATATATTTGTATTATCTTCAAATTACACCACTGTGTTCAATAAATTACACTGAAGAAATCATTATAAATCTAGTAATAAGACAATGTAAATATAGCTAGAAGACACTGTAAGTACATGAAAAAAATTCAGTTAATAGGAGGAACGAAAACAACTGAATCAGATCCTTTACCTGTAGTCAAATCTAGTAGCATCTACCGGGAGTCGTCGTAATGCCTATAGTTAACAGGATGGACGAAAGCACTTGAGTGGCAAAATGCTCACAGTAGAAGTGAAAGAATGACCCTATACATCCCACCGTAAAGCCGGTAGCCACAGCGGCCATGCCTAGATGTCTACAGTCACTGCTACAATGAGCAGGCCTAGATGCCTTGCCGAGGCTGTGCGGTAGCCCTATGCTCCGGTCATGCCTAGCTTTGCCTCACCGCACCATTCTCTATGGTGCGTCACTCCCGCGCTAAGATAGGTGGCGCGGCAGATCCTGTCATGTCACCGGTCAGCGCCTCGGTCGTCACCATGTCATCTTTCTCGCTACACCACCGTGCATAGCGCGGCACAGGCGTTTCTTCGCGCTAGAGAAATAGACGTGGCAAAAAATGTTAGTTTCGGAGAAAACATATTAAACAGTGTTAATGTTAGATTTAAAATTAGTTTAAAAAAATGTTAAAAATAAAAAAAGTTGTCCCCTTCCGTCCCCGGCCGGCGCCAACGCCACTCCAGTGAGCCGAGCGCGGAGACGATCACGGTGGGCAGAGTGACACGCCGCACGCACGCCTCTCGACTCCGCCCCGCTCCAGATTTCGCCCACCCACGGACCCACCCACCCATGGCGCTCGCCGCCTCCCACCACCGCCTCCTGCCCGTCGCCCCCGCACCCGCCACCCCTACCCCGTCGCGGGGGCACCTGCGCATCCGCGCCGCACGCCCTCTGCCCCGGCCCGCCCGGAGGTGAGCGATCTGATCCTCGCGGGGCCCGGGGCCCGTTCCCGTGCCGCCGTGCTCTGCTCGCCATGGTCGGATGTTGCTCGCTCGCTGGCAGCCGCGAGGGATCGAGTCTCCGACTCTCCGTGCTGCGCGGCTTCGAGAGATTATCCACTTGCGTTGTTCGTAACAGAGTAGCAATGGTTTCGTAGAATCGTAGGTGCCGGTTTTAGTTCTCTCTTGTTATAGGGGATTTTTCGTCCCGACTGGAGATAGTTTAGCCCGGGTAAGCCTGGTTCGTCGTTCGACGGTTTCGCGGAGTTGTCAGTTGATGATCTGTTAGATTGGGATATGGCAAGTTTTCCCTGCGCCTATGATAAGTTGGGCAGTAGTAGGACTCGTATGAGAAGTTCTGTCTGCACGTCCTGTATCTGTTCAACCTTCAACTCTATCGTCTCATCAATTCCTAAGTTACATGTAAATGATAGTACTAAATAGATCTGTCTTGCATAATACTCTTACTTCCCTGTTCTATACACTGCACGTACTAATCATCTTTATCTTTTTCAAATCTTATTACCAGAATTTGTTGCCAATCTATCAACTCAGCTAATGTATTGGGAGCTTCTTCAACGGTATGTTTTCACATGACTGGTTTCCTTTTTTTTCTTCTCCTTTTGCATCCACAGTTTCATGTCAATGTAGCATGCCCTTGTAGTCTTGATTATAAGATCTGCTTACTTCTCTATTTGGCTGTCATTAGTGTTGCACCGTCTAAATGTTCTGGTATACTCTTTTAATAAATGTTGGCTTCACTGCTTTAAGAACTCCATTTTCCCCTCGTGCTTTATTCTTGCACATGCTGCTATTAATAAGTGGTAGACGCTATTTTTGTATTTATTCAATTTGCTGATGATTGCTTTTAATGTGTTTTCTTGGGAAAATTCTCATCCCAGACATCTGATGAGGCAGTCCCAGTCCCAGTTGTCCAGATAGATCAAGATTCAGACCGTGATGCAACCATTGTGCAGCTAAGTTTTGGAGATCGTTTGGGGGCACTACTTGACACGGTATAGATTTTACATTCACACTGAAGCTTTGTCTTTACATTGGTGTTGCTCAAAAAATTGTGATGTTTACATTTTTGTTGTATCTGCCAATTATTTTGCCTGGTATTCACTGTTTGCAGATGAAAGCACTCAAGGACCTTGGCCTTGATGTCACAAAAGGAAGTGTGACAACTGACTCAGCTGTCACACAGACAAAGTTCCACATCATGCGATCGTGGGTGCTTGCCCCTTCCTGTTTTATTTTCGTGTGCAGCATCTAGTTATGTGTGTCTACGTGGAAAACAAAAGAGAGCATTCACTATTCCTGCACATATGCATTTACATTCACTTTTAGTGCCTAAGTGCATAGCGTCGGCACATTTATGCTACCTTTGTTCAGCTTTCATGTGATAAGGTTTCTCAACTATACTCTGTACCTGTACACACATAGATTTCTTATACTGTTCCACTATTTTTCATCTGGCCTAGTGTTTTCTTGAGATATTTGATAGTAATCATATAATCCTCGCACATATGCTTTGTCACATATCAATCATTCAGAATATTGACATTCCTTCTTGAAATCCCTTGTTCAATCTTAGATGAAAAAAAGGTGGCACCCTAAGGACTTTTGTACCAAGATTCCATTTAAATGCTACAGCGCTACTTTAGCACTACAGAATTTTTATTTGGATTGGTTCTTACAGTAATATTTTCCCCTCCCTTTTGTATGTATCTAGTGGACGCAAGGTTGAGGACCCTGACATGTTAGAAAGGATTCGGCTAACCATCATCAACAACCTTCTCCAGTATCATCCTGTATGTTTCAGATTCTTGTGTGTGTTAGTTGTTACTCTGCATCGTTATTGCTGTACCTATTTTTTTACTATTTCATTGAATGTAACTAACATAGTAGTCATGCCATCCTTGTATAGGAATCAAGTGAGAAGTTAGCGATGGGTGAATTTTTTGGGATAAAGCCGCCTGAGAAGAAGGCAAGTATAATGCATTCCCATTCTGTAATTTCAGATGCTGTGCTGAATCATGTTATCTGGGTTTAGACATCTTTTCAACTACAATCTGTGAATTATCTCTATTTTAGGAAATGGAAAGCTTCAAATTTGCTCTGTTATGCTATTGGTTTGTGCTTCGATCTTCGATACATTATTAAGCCTGAACTTGCATTCTTTGATCTTTGAACTGGCAGGTTGTTGTCGATATTGCAACACGTATAGTTGTTGAAGATGATGGACCAAAAAGAAGGTTTAATTCTGCTAGCTCCTTTATTTAGCATGATCCAAGCACGTACGGCTACTTCTAGATTAACTGTTATTTTGCATGTTTCATGATGTGTCATGTTATATATGTCAATCTTATTGTTTGCATGCTCATCTGTATTGTTTTATCCTAGCAGAAGTTCTATACATTTGAAAATAAGTACTAACACCAAGTGATATATGTCCCAAATATTTTGTACTACAGAATGAATTAGCTATTCGTGTACACCTGTACAGCAAGACATATGCCAGAACCTCTAAGGTTTGAGCCATTCTGTCTGCGTCATGTAGTATCAGTTCCTGTAGAAAGACTTTGGAAAGAGCTATGCATTACTTCTCACACAAATCAAATACTTAGTAAATTGGATCTGGTTACAGCAGAAAGTTTTAAGTATCACAGATAGGCCGAGAACATGTAGGCATGGGCAACACAATACTACGTGAGGCCATGAAAGTTGTTTTTCCTCCTTCAGCCTATGTAATTGTGTGCTCCGTAATATGTATCATTAACTGTTTCAGGATTCTTTTTAGCCCTATATTTTGCTTTTGACATAATAATCAGCTTCAAATAAATTTTTGTGCCTATCCTTTGTTCCTTTGAACTTTGATGCATCTCAACATGTTAGAAATGCATATTTGTCCTTCCCCAAGAATCACTTCCAACATAAGTAGAATCTGACTTCGATGTATATCTCTTTTTTGTTCATACAATGCTGCATCACTTGCTTCCTCATTGATTTCTGTTGAAATTCGCAGCATGCTTTACATAGAGACAGCTGATCGGCCTGGCCTACTTCTTGAGATAGTCAAGATCATCACGGACACAAATATTGATGTGGAATCAGCTGAGATTGATACTGAAGTATGCTACATTTCACTTCATTGCTTTTTCAGCTAAGACCATTAAAGCCTGTTAGATGATATTTGGCATTTTATACAGGGTCTGGTTGCGAAGGACAAGTTCCATGTAAGTTACAGAGGTGCAAAACTAAACAGCTCCTTATCTCAGGTCTACTTCCTTGGTCATTTCAGCGACATCATAATCATTTCTACTAAATGTGATTTTTTTTTGTCTTCATTGTGTTCACTTTGCACTCTTTATTTTGCTTTTGTATAGACGCTGATCAATTGTCTGCGATATTACCTCCGAAGGCCTGAGACAGATGAAGACAGTTATTGATTGTTGTGTTGTCGAACCTTCTTAGTACATTAAAATCAGAAACTTCAAACTTTGGCTTGAGTTCCTTCTCTATGAGCCCCTTGTACTGTTGCAGATGGAGTTTCCATTGTAGCATCCATATATATGTACATAGGTGGCATTGAAATTTGGCTCACTAAACCATTTTGTAGTCATATACAGCTGGGAGCAACAGAATTTAGGTTTCAATCATCGTTATCCCATTTGATTCCTGTTATAAGGGATCACATTGGAGGTCCTCAAATGATTGATGTTGTCTGTAAGTTGGCACAATCCATCTGCATGTAAAACTCAGCTGTGGACTTGTGATGTTCTCTGATGAAATAAATAAAAGAGCATTACAAAATCACCGACCACAATTGGTCCTGCTTCCTACTTGTTATCGTCAATTGAAATAGCTGCATTTATACTGAACCTTTTGCACTAATGGCAAAATTGACATGAGCGTGAAGTTTGGGTTCTTCAGATATCAGTCTGTGCATATCCCAGGTCAGGGTTGAGCGGCATGTCAGAAATGTGGTCTGTTATATCGATAGAAAGGGTTCAACTTGAGTATATAGTAACTGAAAATGCAAAATGCATTGAGTTCGTCGTGGATTTGAAACCTCTATTTTTTACTCGAAGTCTTGTGGTTTCTTCACATCCAGGACCATTGTATGTTTGTATTTGCATGTCATCAGGCTCGAACCCTAGGATTCATGTCAAAACCTCGCATTTGAATTTGATTTTGTAGCGTTCATACTCCTGGTCGGATGAATTTGATCTTGCAGCGTTCATACTCCTGGCCGGATTTTGGTCAGATTCAGGGTTTGGATCCAGGACTAAAGTTTATAGTTTAGATAGTGTCACGTAAGGATGTCGAATGAGTTGTTCGGATACTAATAAAAAATTAAATTACAGAATCCGTCAGTAATTCGCGAGACAAATTTATTAAGCCTAATTAATCCATCGTTACCATATATTTACTGTAGCACCGTATTATCAAATCATAGAATTAAGCTTAAAAAAATTGTCTCGCAAAACAGATTCAATCTGTACATTTAGTTTCGTCCCTCAGCGCAAATGGTGTGAAGGACGGGCCTGGTGTAAACAGTAGAGTTTTACCGTTTGTGGTCGGAAGATCCAGGTTCTGAGTCACGGTCTCCTGGTAGAGGGGTCTCTGCACTCGTACGCCCTCAGTGCAGATGGTGTGTGCACCTCCGGCGGCAGCGCCAGCGCTGCGCTGGTAAACGTGGACGTGGCCTTGGTTTCCTCCGATCCCTCTTCCTCTCCAACCCGCGGCGCCTTTCTGTCTCACCAGCCGCCGCCGCTGCCACTGCCGCCTAGGCATCATCGCCCAACGCCGGCTCAGCCGCCGCTTCCTGGGCATCTCACTCAAGGCCCCCTCCGCCCGCCCTCCACTCCAGGTCGGGGGCCGCAGCCTGGGGCGCGCGCGCCCTCGACCCCATTGCCACAGATTCCTTCTCGCCGCCATTGGATTGGATGCGTCGCAGCCATTGCCACAGATTCCTTCTCGCCGCCGCCGTGCCATCATTCATGGCGAGGCATCGCCGGGCGGTACCAGAATCATAATCCATGCTATTCAACATCCCACACTGCAAATCACAAGCTCCTGTAGCCGCCGCCGCCGTAGCAGCCGTTTCCAGCATCCGCTCCTCCTCCTCCTTTCTGCCGGCGCTGGTTCCGCCGCCTCCGCCTCTGCACGAGGGGAACCCGTTCGCCGCGCTCCTCGCTTCTGAGCCCCCACCGCCGGAGCCTCTCCGCCAGGTGCTCGCCACGGGCGACGTCCACTCCGCGCTCCGCGGACTCCCCGGCCTCGCACGCCAGCTGTTCCGGTGGGCGGAGGCCACCCCGTGTGGCTTCCCCCGCTCCGCCTCCGCGTTCGCCGCCGTCCTCGTCCCGCTCGCCCGAGCCAACCGCATCCGGGCCGCCTACCCTGTCTCCCTCCGCGCCCTGCACCTCGGCCTCCTCCTCCCCCTCGTGTCCCTCCTCCTATCCGCTCCCCTCTCTCCCGCCCCACAGTCACTATTGAGCCTCCTCTTACGCTTGTCCACCAAGTACGCGAAGGAATGCAAAGCCCGCGACGCCACGCCCGACACCTGTTCGACGCTGTGCCTGTCCGCCTTCCGCGAGATGGCAAGCCACGGCGTGGCCCCTGACGTTAAAGACTGCAACCGTGTGCTCCGTGTATTGCGTGATGCGGCCAGGTGGGACGACATTTGTGCTGTGCATGTGGAGATGCTCCAGCTCGGGATTGAGCCGAGTATTGTCACATACAATACTTTGCTGGATTCTTTCTTGAAGGAGGGAAGGAAGGACAAGGTTGACATTCTACTGAAGGAGATGGAGACCCGGGGGAGTGGTTGCTTGCCAAACGATGTCACGTACAATGTGGTGATTACTGGGTTGGCTAGGAAAGGTGACCTTGAGGAGGCAACGGAGCTGGTAGAGCGAATGCGGCTGTCCAAGAAGGCTTCATCCTTCACTTATAACCCACTTATCACTGGGTTGCTTGCAAGGGGCTTTGTCAAAAAGGTTGATGATTTGCAGCTGGAGATGGAGAATGAGGGCATTATGCCTACAGTAGTGACGTACAATGCAATGATCCATGGGCTGCTTCAAAGTGGGCAGATAGAGGCTGCACAGGCGAAGTTTGTGGAAATGAGGGCGATGGGCTTGCTACCAGATGTGATCACCTACAATTCTTTGCTAAATGGGTATTGTAAGGCGGGTAATTTGAAAGAGGTTCTTTTGTTGTTTGGCAATTTGAGGCATGCAGGGTTAGCACCAACAGTTTTGACATATAACATTCTTATAGATGGTTATTGTAGATTAGGTGATTTAGAGGAAGCCAGGAGATTGAAAGAGGAAATGGTAGAGCAGGGTTGTTTGCCTGATGTTTGTACATATACAATTCTCATGAAGGGTTCGCATAATGCGCGTAGCCTTGCTATGGCAAGAGAATTCTTTGATGAGATGCTGAGCAAAGGTTTGCAGCCAGATTGCTTTGCCTATAATACAAGGATTTGTGCGGAGCTGACCCTAGGGGCTATTTCCAAAGCTTTCCAGTTGAGAGAGGTGATGATGTTGGAAGGCATATCTTCTGATACAGTGACATACAATATTCTTATCGATGGACTGTGCAAAACTGGTAACCTGAAAGATGCCAAAGAGCTGCAGATGAAGATGGTCAGTAATGGTTTACAGCCTGACTGTATCACATACACCTGCTTGATTCATGCGCACTGTGAAAGGGGACTCCTAAGAGAAGCAAGAAAAAATTTTAAGGACATGATCTCAGATGGTTTGGCACCCTCAGCTGTGACCTACACTGTTTTTATTCATGCATATTGTAGAAGAGGAAACCTTTATTCAGCGTATGGTTGGTTTCGGAAGATGCTGGAGGAACGAGTTGAACCTAATGAAATAACATATAATGTCCTCATACATGCATTATGCAGGACAGGCAGAACTCAACTGGCTTATTGTCATTTTCATGAGATGCTAGAAAGGGGATTGGTGCCAAACAAATACACATATACTTTGTTGATAGATGGGAACTGTAGAGAGGGCAACTGGGAAGATGCGATGAGATTCTATTTTGAAATGCATCAGAACGGTATTCATCCAGATTATTTAACACATAAGGCCTTGTTCAAGGGATTTGATGAAGGTCGCATGCACCATGCAATTGAGTACTTGGAGAATATCGTTTTGGGTGAATAGATTGATCGATCTCTGAAAGCTTGTCCTTTTGTCCTTGCTTCGCTGATATCTCCCTGTAAGAGCTTTCTCCTATATGCATATTTCTCTTCATCAGTGGCTTGTTACCTAGCTTTGCTCATGTCTCTAACCAATTTCCGTTTTTGTTTTCAGGCCAGAGGTGATAGATGGAGTTCGTGGGCCATTCTTTTCAAAATGGAAAGAAAAAGAGAGTTTGAAACAACATTCTCTGAGTTAAGCTACTGGGTGCTTTCTAAACAAATAGTTAAGCACAAACAGGCCTTCCTCTTGCTGCTCAGAGATGATAGATGGAGTTTGGGGGCAATTCCATCCAAAAGAAGAAAAGCAAGAATTTGGGACCATGTTCTCTTAGTTAATCAGCTGGGTGCTTCCCAGATGAATAGTTGATCACAAACAGGTCTTCTCCTTGCTGCTTAAACCTTGTCAGAATTCTTTCCTTGGCATCATAGCTACGGAGATACGTTTTCTAGTGAAAACTGGGTGGTAGGCATCGGCTCCGTTTCTAAAAACCTCTCTTGATACAATTCTGTCCCCTTTGTTATTTTCCTTTTGATAAGGTATACTGGAAACCTGTTGGCCTTCAATTCCTTACCCAACTAGCTGAAATAGTAAATGGCCGTGGGCCTTTGCGACTGAGCTTTCTTCAATTATATATAGGATTTCTCTTGGTAAGAACATACCGAGAATTTTTTGTAACGAATAATTCATCACCATCAATTTTGCCATAGGCATAAGTCATAGTATATTGACCTCTCAGATATGTAAGTTGTAACTGTATTCTCATTCATTGAATCATTTAATGAGAAGATTATTCATTTCAAAAATTCAGCTCTGTCCCAACCGTTATTGACATGAACAATTTTGTTTGGTCAAAAAGGTTTTTTTAATTTTCGGCCCACATCAGCATTTGTTGTTTCACTTGTGTTAAAACTTCAGAGCTCCAGAGTTCGCAATAGGTTGGATCTGAGGTGGAAACCTGTAGCTGAATATATGTATTAAATGGTACTTGGTCTTGGTTAGTGATTTACCAAATAAGTAGAAGTGGAAAGTGTATGTATGCAAGTGAGTTTTGACAACATGCATAATATCAGAACCATGGATGAGCTAATACATCACATGATATACTTGTACTCATGAAAGCTTCAATGGTACATTGGTGCTAATGCCTAACATAGTTAGGCATGCTATTGTCTAATGCAGTTTCACTCATTTGATTTGCTCAGTTGTGAGCTTTATTTTCTTTTATGGTGGTTGTTGATATTTGATTTTTTTTTATTGATAGACTAACTGTAGAAATGAGGCACATGCAACCTTATTAATTTTTCTATTGGTCTTATCAATTCTGCAGACCATAAATTTTAAGAAAATACTGAGAGAATGCTCATGTACTGAAGCCTTTCTTGATCTTATCTAGACAATGCCTGCATATTATTATAATTTATTTTCTTCCTGTGTTTGTTGTTTCTAAGACTTGTGAGCAACCAAGTTATAGTACTACCAATGGTCTGATCCACTTGTCATTTAGGTCACTAATATGTCCTACATTGCACAATATTGACCATTTCTTTCTTAAGCATATGCTATAAAAGTAGTAGATTTAATAATGACATTGATCTTCCTTGATGTTTTCATCTGATAAAACTGCATATTTTATGTTGGTATAATCATAAAAATTTGACTCTTTTTAGGGCAAAAAAAGAATGTTTTTTAGATCAGAGTATTGACCCTGATTGAAAGCAAAATATCATCCTTTGGGTTGCCAGCTGTTACAAGACAAGAACAAGAGTTTAGAGCTAAATGCCACAAACTAGGAAACAAGGACTCCAAACATGTGGTGATGTTGAATTAACTTTGGACCCAATATCATCCTTCAACTAGTGATGTTTAATAACTTTGGGTTTGGTTCAGCTGGTCTAAAGAGTAATGTTCACAAGAGTAGTGTGCTACCGATCCAATGCACAGAAAGTGAAGTGAAAGCTATACAAGGACTCCTTTGTCAGTTCATGGACTTTCCATGCAAATATCTCGGCCTGCCTCTTTCCTTGTGCAAGCTAACAAGGGCTCAGATTCGGCCAATCATTGATAAGATAGCAGATAAACTTCCTGGATGGAAAGCCGACCTTTTGACAATGGCTGGAAGTTAAATGTTAGTTCAATTTGTGCTCACTTCCATTTCATGTTGGTTTATCTGCTCATGGCCATTGATATTCCACCTTGGGCTCTCATGGCCATTGATAAAGTTAGGAGAGGTTTCCTATGGAGAGGAAGAAAGGATGCGCAAGGTGGTCACTGCTTGTTGACTTGGCTGAAACTGACTTTTCCTTTTGAGCTTGGTGGACTTGGTATCTTCAATTTACAGAACTTGGGATGGGCTCTCCATATGAGATGGCTTTGGCTGCGCAAAACTGAGCCAGATCGCCCCTGGGCAACCTTGCCTATTCAGGTTCAGAGTTTGATCAGAGCTTTCTTCTCCATGCCATTGTCTCAGAAGCTGGAGGTTGTAAAACGTACACTTTTTCTTGGTCAGACAGATTACTACATGGTCAGAATATATCTACCCTTGTGCCTCATGTGTTTGCACTTGTATCTAAAAGAACTGTGAACAAGAGAACAGCTTATGAGAGGCTCTCAGTAACATGAGAAGGCTCTCTGATATTAGAGGAGCATTACCTATCAGGGTCATTGCAGAGTATCTTGATCAATGGGACATATCTTGCGTCCGTAGGTGCGTATGTTGTTTTTTCTAATACAGTGATACGCGGCTCTCTTTTTTTTTTTGAAAAAAAGGCAACTTTTTTTCTGAAAAAAACACACACTGCAACCTTTTTGACCACGAGTTGAAGCGCTAGCCAATGCCAGTGTAGCAGCCTTGAAGCCAAGGCTTGTGCTGTTGTGCGAAGGAGCCGAGGCAACTAGCGCCCGGCGCAAGGGCCTCATCGCCACGGGGGGGTCGGGGGCGAGGATCCAAGGCGGCCATGGATCGAGGCGCGAGCACAGTTGCCCGAAGACGGAGGCGAGGCCCACCTCTACCCGGCCGTGCCCCACACGGGCGCTGGCGTGGCACACCACTGCCGTCGGTGGCTTAGGTGCAGGCAAGGCGTTCGACGGAATGCCCTCCGGCTCCTGAGCCGCCGAGGCCCAGCGCGGGGCACGAGCCGGAGCTCCTGTTGTGGGCGGACCTCCCGGCGGACATCCTGGGGCTCATGGTCGGTCGCCTCCCCCGCGTCGACTACCGCGCCAGGCTGCGCTCCGTGTGCCGGGCGTGGCGCGCCGCGGCGCGCGTCCACGGGCGGCCGCCACTCCCGCTGCTCGTGCTCTCCGACTTATCCTTCTCCGCCTTCTGCGCCGACGGGGCTATGACGGGCGTGCGACGCATCCCCCTGCCCTCGTGGGAGATGGCGGCTGGCGTCCGCTGCGCGGGCTCCTTTGATGGGTGGCTCGTCGGCGTGCAGCTCAACAAAGGTCGCCACTTTGGTGACGGCCGGTGCTTCCTGATGAACGCTTTCTGCCAGGACGTCGTCCGCCTCCCACCGCCATAACCACCCACTCCCTCGATGCCTACAGTAAATCTCTCCCCATCGCCAACAGCTCTGGTGCAGTGCAATGCACGGTCAATGGCGCCCAGCATGTGATGTCGTTCTGCAAGGTAGTCTTGTCCTCCTCACCTGACCGTGATTGCAAGTGCATTGTGGCTGCCGTCTCCGTGCACAGGAGCACAGCTGGCCTTGCCCTCTGGTGGCCTGGGATGACGTCGTGGTGCGTGTGCCAAGGTGGCTGCATCAATAAGTTCAGTGACATTGCCTTGTACCAGGGAAAGGTCTACATGTTTAGCAAGGTCACCACGGACCTCTTTGTCTTTGACATCTCAGAAGACGACAGTGGCCTGATGGTTTCTGGTGTCGAGCGCTGTGTGACTCAACTGCCTGAGGTCAAGGATAGCTATGGACAGAGGTGGAACATAGTTGAGTGGCATGGGAAACTATTGCTGGTTGTGATATACTTGGGACCTGAAGGCTGGCACAATATTTGTAAGATTGGGGTATTTGAGGTGGACTTGAGCACAAACCCTTTCAGATTCACTGAGATCGACAGCTTGGATGGCGACTGCATCTTCATCAGCTCCTGCAGCAGCAAATCATTCCGTGCATGTCTGTATGACGGAGTCGAAGATGATCTTATCTACTTCATTGATGGTGGCCTCAACCACTCTAGAAATGCGTCTCCTTTTGATAAATTTGTGTACAACATGAGGGATGGTACATTGGCACCATTTGCTGTGGAAATAGCAGACGACAACCTTCGGGCACCAGATGGCAGCCTGATGAATCCAACATGGTTCTTTCCTTCTGAATGAACAGCTGCTGTAGATCATTTCTGGTCATTGCAAGTCTGATTGAGCCGAAGCACTGCTGCTACCTGGTGTGAGGCACCATGCTATTTCATTTCAAGAACTGGATTCAAGTGTATGCTGTTTGTTTTTATGTATGGTTTCCATTTCCAGGGTGCTTATCTGACGAACTTTTATTGGTAGTAAACTGATGTGTACTTTCTTTTAATGTTTCTATATAGACTGTTAGTGCCTGCGCACTTGTAGGATTTGTCTAGTACTCTAGTGTTCAATAAAGAAAGGACTCAAAACACTCCCTCTCCAATTTGAATGTTTGACTACGCGCTTTCGCTTTCTGGGATGACATCAATTTTGGACCAAAGGTAGTATGTGTATGGGACGAGTATTGTAATAACTTGATATGCTGGAAAGTCTAACAGATTATGAATTACACTAGTCTTGGTGTTGTAGGAATAAAGTGTACAACTTGTGGAACAAAATTATAAGCAAAATGACAGCTGGCAGCCGGCAGTTCTTCAACATTTTGAAAATGGACCTACTGTCACACATCTAGGGACTCTTCTCCTAACAAGAGTGCCTTGAGAATTCGGTCGGTCCATCCATCTACCAGCATGAACATGTGTCCACCTTCTGGGACTTCATGATACTTGATCCATGGAAGCTTGTTGGAAATGTACCTCTGCAGCTCAACAAGCACCAACCTATCTTCGTATCCTTGCCAGATGTGTACAGAACCCTCATTTTGAGGAAATGGATTGGTAATGTTCATTGGATCAAACTCCCAACTTCCAAAAGCGACAAGTAAATCACGGTGGATTGATTCATAAATGCCTTGCTGCCTTGATTTATTCTGAAAAATGCAGTAGCAAATCAGTGTTATGTCAAGAAATCTTAAAAAGGGACAGGTTTTTCTATATAATAACATTGCTTCAGGTCAGCTTTGAATACATGTCTTTTTATGCTCTTTCTTGCTGTAATTTTCATGTAAATATGTTAGTATATTATTGTCTCTATGGCATGAATGCTTAGGAAGCTAATCCTTGTATATTCTAATTCTTATTAATTTGACCTGCTCTGACTCTGTCAAGTAGCACTTCATGTTCTGCTATCTTTCTTTTACATTTATAACTGATGCTGTGATTTACCTCAATGGTTTTTGGCATTGCCATCATCTTCTGAAGAACCTCCATATCATGCTTGCTAAATATTTCAGGGTGGTGCATGGCTGCTGCAGAAGAAGGGAACCACCTCTGGGTCATCCACAGGTAAAGCAAGGATGGTATGTTATGTGCAATCCAAAGAGTTCTCTGCTCTGGCACAACCAGTCTCTTGAAGGCCTGCCTGGATAATTCAGCTGGGAAAGAAGGCCACCAGTAGTTGATAATTGGCACAACCATCGCAGCTCCTGCAAGCCTGCACACACGGCATATGGAGCTTTTTACATATCTGAAGAGTTGCATATTTCATTAACAATGCGTGTGGTTGAAGTTTATGTTTGCCTGTGTGGTATATACTGGAGGCATCCCCAAACTGAGTATCCTCCCATTGAGGCCCCTAAGACATAGAACTTCTGCCCAAGCCCCAGCTGGTCAGCAAGCTCCTCGATATCCAGTGCCTCGCTCTTGACATCCCGCTTGGGATTCGGGTCGCTTTCCCCATATCCAGCTCTATCATAAGCAAGGAGGTAAATTCCCAATTCTTCCACAAGCTCCTGATTGACAGTTCAAGAAACCAGTAAACAAAATATGTACTGGGGAAAAGGTATCTCACTTCTAGTCATGTTGTGCTGTTTGATTTACCTTAGAAACAGGTAAGGGGAAGTCCTTGGTGCTATCAAACGCATGCACTGTGATGATCTTGTACCTGGCCTTGTCTTTCTGTACTCCATCTTCTCTGTATGCAAGGTATCTTCCGTCCCTGAGTTTGATCCTGGGAGACATCAGAGGAGGGCCACCTGGGGAACCGCAGAGTTTTTGGGGCGGTGGCCGGAGAATCACCTGGAACGCTAAGCTGAGGAGCACAACTGGAAGAACAAAGACTAATTTAGGGGCCATTTTTCTCCAAGATCTGGTTGTGCTTTGAGGTGAGAGAAGGTAAACGTGAATTTAGCTTTGAGTGGCTGGGAACACTTGCAATGTCGGTCGTCCTTTATTCCACTGGTGGTCTGATTGCAACGGATGGACCAACCCGACCCCCCATCTTGCTTGCTTTATTTCTTTTGCCTAATTGTACTTAAGCTTTTGCTGTATAACTTATTACATCCTGATGGTGTACATAGACCCAGATGACCAGATCTATGTTCCTATTTTACAGAAACTATGTAAATCTGAATATATTTGCCATCTTTCAGAATTTTGGATTTCTGGGTATACAACCATGGGAGAAGAGGCACAGATCTGGCGTGACAACTGGGCAATAGCATCAAAACTTTTGTCTGTGGACGGTCGACCAGTGCAAACATTACAGCCTTCTGTTCCGACTTTACCATGTAGTATCTCTTGGTGGGGAATGATTTTGCGCCCTATCATTTTTCCCACTGATGATATAACTCTTGCACATTGCATTTCACCGCATGAGTTTATGAGTGCGACCTGATTCAGGATTAACTTTTTCTCTCTCTCCTGTCTGCCTGTCAGGTTTTGCTCTTATGTTGCTGTTTATGTGCTCTGTGCAGGATTGCAGCTGTGAGGGGGATCAGTATGACACTGCTGTGAATAAGAGATAAGATCTGCGGTGCTGCCTGTTGCAGTACACAGGCCTAGTCATCTCTGAGCTGTTGTTGCTGGTGCCGCCGATGGAGCAAACTGGCAACAGATCAGGCATGCATCAAAGGTGCTTAGCACAGTGGAATATTCAGAGGCGTGCTCTTGGTATCAGGCGACCATCAGAGCTGCACTATGATCCCCGCCCCTCTCCATGACTGCTGCTGCGGTTCAGTTTCTTCGATTGCAATGCAAGTGGGTAGGTACTAGAGAGAATCTGTATAGCCTCACCATTCACCAAGAATCCAACAATGTTGTTGTACTGAAGTGTCGAGCCTCCAAAGCAGGCAGAGAGTGACACATCCTATATGCCAAAGGACAATGGTAGATGACTCAGAAAACTGGCGACCATTTTTCGGTGCACGCTGATAGCGAGAACGCACTGACCTGAATCACATGACCTCCCCTGGCCTGCAACTGCAAGTTGGCACTGCTTGGTAGGCAATTGGATTTGTTGGTATCACGCGGATGGATCCCAGATCAGAGCCCAGCTCCCTCTGTGGATTTCAGTACAGGAACAGGAGCGCGCACGTACGGGTTGCCGGGTTGGTGTTGAGTTGTTGTGGAGACAAGAGAGCAGCAGCACGTACGAGTACGACCCCAGCTCATTGCTGCCAATGGGCCCTGCTCCTGGTACAGCCCAAAAACACCAGTGTTTTGCTTTCAGTTTGGTACCACAACACAGGAGCTCTATCAGAAAAGAAATTTACCATTTTTTTTAATCACAGCACGAGCTCTAGCACAACGCATATGATGAATTATTACATGTAGACAATTAGATGTTTTTGAAATATTTACATGTTTTTTTTCATCTACAGTATATAAAAAGAACCGTGCCCGTGACGATACTGGGCTTGAATGAACAGCTCTGGTGCCCTGAATAGCTTTGGCCACCACTGCAAATTTCTGCTCTCGTGTATGAGCCTCCACGCAACGCGCAACGTCTGCCGGCATTCCAAAGTGCGGAGATCTTCTCCGGAAACATGAGCAAACACTTCCACTTTCTGGACCAAATCCTGCGGCAAAGGATAATAAAAATGTAATATTTCCAAATCTCGTGGCGTTGACTGCCCAATTCCAATTCCACGCGGAAAACTAGCCCAAACCCACACGGAAACTCGCCCACTGTCAGCCCCCACATTCATAACAACTTTTGAGTACAGCATTTGCCCTGTTCGTTTGGCTGGCTGATAAGCCATGCCTATAAGTACTGTTGGCTGATTTGTTGGGAAAGAAAAATACTGTTCGTTGGCTGAGAAAGTACGGCTTATAATCCAAGCTAACAGGGCAATTATCATATCATCTTGTGTGCTTGGATTCTGACTCGTACTCAATCAAGTGGCGACACCTTGATCCATGGAGATCCGTTGCAGCATAGCCCTCGTCCCTCCAAAGTCTTTCATGCCATGATCCGAATATCTAATTGCCTCCTGGCGGTTGCCCCCACAATGATCCTCCTGTCATTCAGGTTGGTTACTTACCACTCATCTGCATGTCCGGTCCGGGGACAAAAGGCTCAGTGGACGGCTCCTTTTTGCCGAGGTGCTTCAGGCCTCGGTGTCAAGTAGAGCTAATGACAGCAACAAAGAAACATCGCCATCTGCATGGAGGTGAAAGATGATTAGTGTGCCCCCCAGAGATGTATAAATGAAACTTGCTAGTGAAGCTCAACTCTGGTAAAGCAACCTTTGACCTTCTTTTATTTTTTTGGATTTAAATGTAAGTGGAGCTAGTCAATAATTACTATTGTGGAAAACACACTTGGCAGCTATTTGTAAAAGCTTGGCAGCATATATCATAGTTAATTTCTGTAACTCCTTAGCACCTGCAGCCCACTGCACACCACAAGGTGCCACGCAACTAAGACGATAAAAAGAAAAATTGAGCCCTTTCCTGAATTGCTTGCCCCCCTGATTTAGAGCTTGGCACCACCCTGAGGAGAAACCTGCTGAGCTTGGCTGGGTAACCACCTGCTGCAGTCCCAAAATTGGAGGACAATAAACCACACTTGCCTAGAGAAACCAGCAAGTGCTGTATAGTTTCATCCATTTGATCATAGAAACGGCAGCAGTTAGGGTGTGTTAGCCCACGTTTGGCGAGCCTATCAGCCTGTGTCGATGTTATGTAGGACCTGCCCCTACATTGTCATTGACTAGCTTGGTGGTATAATAAACAAAAAAGTGCCCCTGAAGTTATGGTATGGATGAAAATTTGCCCTTGACAAAGCCCTGACCACTGCATCCATCCATTGCCATACTTGGTGCCTGGACCTTGTCGAATCACTGCAACCGGTGTGTGTTTGATGTTGTGTCCCAGAGTATAGCTAAAGCTTTAACTGCTCGCTGGTGAAGAGCTGCAGTACTGGGGTTTGGGCAGGGCTAAAAGCATTACATACCTCTTAGCCATTGGTGCCAAGCATGAGTTGTCGCTAGGTCGAGGTCGTTTTATAAGTTGTAAAAGGTGCTAATGTGCGTTTATTAGAGGAAAAAAAGAGAGCACTGACCTGATATTGATAAATAAACTAGTCAAAGTTGCCAAAAAACAGAACTGTTGAGATTTACCTACCAATGGTGCAATTATATGCACTTACCATTGGTTGGAACAATTACGAGATTCCACTACCCTAGCTAGGTTCAATCAAATATCATGGCATTGGCCAGGAGCAGAAAATTGTCACCAAGCCGTACTTGACTCCACTTCTACCACTTGGGCATGGTGCCAAGCAGGCATGATGGCAATTGACCATATAACAGAAGAATGCACAAAACTGTACTTGGCTCCACCACTTATGGAAAACTATAAAGATTTTTTAAATGCTCAATCAAGAAGAGCCTAGGAACTTTTTATAACTGAGTTGATATCTCTGCACTAGACAGCACCCCTACATGATGAAGTGGTGGTGGCACTGCATTCTGTTCCTTTATTCTCTTTAGTGACTTGTTGTCATGGCATCCCAAAGAAGATAATAAACAGATGTAATTGTAAATCAACTGGTATCACAGTTTGAGCAAAGATTCTGGCAGCAACTAAACTCAAAGCTTCTCTTTTCCTTAACAGAAAAAGGGGCAGCTAAATGAGGGTTTCCTAAACAAATAAACCAGCAAAGATAAACATTTGAGGGTTGAGAGGCTTCCATGCGGCATCTTGTCTCCCAGATCATAAAAAGGAAATATTAGAAAACAGGAGGATAAGAATATAGGCAATTTAAGTAAACATCAAATCAAGCATGCCAAATGGAATTGATAGTTTCAACAAAAACCAAATTCTAAAGAACCATATTCCTTTTTTTCCATTTAGATCCAGAAAAGTCACACTTCCCTATTAGACTTTTTTTACATCTAGATGTTTTTTTCACGATAAGGTATTTTAATGTGCTCACTAGAAATCAGATACTACTACACGTTTTCCAGAATAGTTCATATGTTTTTTTTTTTAAATGCAGAGCTAATACACAAATTTGATAAGGTGATTAAGCATCATATTCTGCAGAGTGCAAAGGCTTCCACGTCAAAAATGCAGCAATTTTTTTTTTGTCTCCAAGCCAATGAAAAAAAAATCCCCCTTTATTTTCCATTTTTTTCTCCACAAAGCGATACTTAGATATGTCATTTTAAGAAAAAAAATGGAAAATGATAAGGTGCTTGAATTGTGCTCTCCAGAAATCTGATGATAACGATTTTATGTAAAAGCTCACTTTTTTCTATTTCGGAAGGGTGGAACGTGAAAATTTGATAACATCATTAAGCAACAAATTCTGCAAAGTAACTGTCATGCAAACCCTACATGTAGATAGGGAAAATGTTTCCCAATAATACCAGATAGTTTAGCACCGTAGTCTTTACTGGCCCACTTCCTGGAGGTGTGTTATGTTTTATAAAGAATTAAACATATTGGTCTATCACATATTTTGAGATGGTTTGGACATGTCCAACGGAGACCTCCAGAGGCACCGGTGCGTAGTGGAATCCTAAGTCAGGATAGTAACGTGAAGAGAGGTAGAGACAATAAAAGGAGACTTGAAAGGATGGAATATACCCAAAGACTTAGCCTTAGATAGGAGTGCTTGGAAAACAGCTATTCACGTGCCTGAACCTTAATTGCTTCTGCTGGGTTTCAACTCTAGCCTACCCCAACTTGTTTGGGAATTAAAGGCTTTGTTGTTGTTGTTGTTGTTGTTGTTGATCTATCACATATTTTCTTGTCGACTCCATGGTGACCTGAAATACTTTGTTTCAGTCATGAAAGAACAATTTTGCACATACATAGTCATCAAAAAGAGAAAAAATATCCCA